CATATTTGGGGCTAGCAATGTGTGTTACCAGAGCTCCAGCTTAATACAGCTCAATGGTTCATATGTACCTGCTGTCTTGAGTTACTGGAGGATGAGTGGCTGGTTTCTACCCAGCTGTTACATTTAAAATGCAGGCTTCAGGAGCTGGCAGCTATATGGAAAGGTTTCCACATTGATTCCTGTATTTAATTTATACAAGGGTGTGTTTAGTTTGGAGCAGTTATTAGAGTTTGTGTCCAGCCAATGAGGTCTCATTAATGTTCTTTGTTTTTGTTGACCAGGTAAATCGCCATGTATTCCCTTCAAGGAAAGGAAAACGCCGAAACTCCAGGAGTCACCATGTTTCTCTGCTCAGCTCAACAGTCCTGCTTTATCGATAACCAAACTGCGAGCCCAGAAACCAAAACATTCACCATCAGGTATAGTTCTTAATAACTAGGTTCTGGTGCAGTTAAGCTGCCTTAGCGCTTTGCTGCTGTCTGGTAAATATTAGTTTGGGCTCTCATCTGAGAATATGAAAGTTACACTGTAGATCTGAGGCACTGGCTTAGTCTCTTAAAGCTTGAGTCATTTACAAGTGAACAAGAGCTAGTCCTTGAGATTCCACTACAGGGAACAATCCTGTACTGAGGAGGCAGGGCCAACTAACTGAATAAGTTTTTTCCATCACTAATGTGGGTAATATGGTCTAGATTGGTGTCCCTTGTTAAGTTTAAGTTGCTGTATTTTATAACTGAGAATATTGTTTTTCATTTTTTATGCACATTTTCCTTCTTTTCCCCGCCTGTTGTTTACAGAGAATAAGAGTCCTCCTCCAAGGCCAATATCAAGTTCATCATTTCAACCTCTCAGATCTACTCCTGGGAACAGGCCCAAAATGGCCACCAGACACCGGACTCCCCAAATGCAAGGGAGTTCCAGTGTGACTGATCAGCCAGTCTCTGTGGAAACTTTCTCTGGGCTCAGATTAAGGTCAGTGACCCAAAGCTGTTCTGGGTGTCAAGGGAACATTTTTAAATAACGGGAGAGATGTGATCCTTCTAATGGACTGTCCTAAAGGTGCTTCTTATGTCAAATACATTGTGAATGCGGATCTCGGGCTGTTAGATCAGGGTGAAATTTTTAGTTGGCTGTATTTTATAAATAGCTTTCTCATCCCAGAATGAATATTCTCTGATCAGGGTGGAATGTTAATAATCTAGCAGCAGTATTGGTCGGTAGTTCAGTAATTAGACAGCAACATCTCTGCTGACTTATTTACCATTTTTTGTCCTCTTCTACAGATGCTAACCATGCTGTTCTCACCTAGAGTCCATTTTTAACAATGTAGCAGTCATTTTATTAGACAGTGTGCTTAGAACTGCTTCTGTCACAATATGTTCAGAGCTGGTGGGGAGGCAAGGGAGACATGATGGAGCCTGCTCCAATCAAAATGAATGGGTGTCTTACTATGGACTTCAGTGTGAGCAGGAGGGGGCCCTCAGGAGCTGACCCCATATTCCCAATACTTGTGATCACAAAAGGTCTCTTGCTACTTGAAATGGCTTTCCTCATTGGAAAGAGTGGTGAATTTCCAACTTGCACTCATGCTTGGGCAGCAATATTGTTCAGTCCTTGCTGAAATGAATAGAATTAACCACAGATACAAGTTTAACTTGCTGTGTTGGTATTTGGACACAACTAAATACATCAGCAGCCTTCAAATATTTGTATATGTTTAACACCAGTAACTGACAGGAATTGTTTCAGGTGATCTAAGGTTGTACAGCTAGGAGGAATGGGATGAAATCAGGTGCAGAACATACTTTTCATTGGTTTCAGAGTAGCAGCCGTGTTAGTCTGTGTCCGCAAAAAGAACAGGAGTACTTGTGGCACCTTAGAGACTAACAAATTTATTTGAGCAAAAGCTTTTGTGGGCTACAGCCCACTTCATCGGATGCATAGACTGGAACATACAGCAAGGAGATATTTATACATACAGAGAACATGAAAAGGTGGAAGTGGCCATACCAACTGTAAGAGGCCAATCAGTTGAGATGAGCTATCATCAGCAGGAGAAAAAAAACCTTTTGAAGTGATAATCGAGATGACCCATAGAAGGTGTCATCTCGATTATCACTTCAAAAGGTTTTTTTTCTCCTGCTGATGATAGCTCATCTCAATTGATTGGCCTCTTACAATTGGTATGGCCACTTCTACCTTTTCATGTTCTCTGTATGTATAAATATCTTCTGTCTGTATGTTCCAGTCTATGCAGCCGATGAAGTGGGCTGTAGCCCATGAAAGCTTTATGCTCAAATACTTTTCATTGACTTCTATTAAACTGTGGAGTGATCTACCGGGGGGATGCTGGGCTCTTTAAGAACAGAGCACTACATACTATACTCCCAAGAACAGTCCTGCAATGATGGTGGTTGGGGATGGGCTAGACGGTCTAATAGGTCTCTTGCTGTAATTTCATGAATATAAAAGCTATTGTACATGGTTTTTAGTCATCTCCCTGTATTGGTGCTAATGTTAGTGGTCTCTATATGCTCTATTTCTTAATGTAGAAAACCCCGTGTGTCATCAGTGGAAATAGACAGGAAAATGGCTGGACGGAAGCTGATCAGACTGTCTCAACTGCAAGGCAAACTGGCTGGGGGGAATCTGGAGGAAACAGACTGGGTAACATTTGGAGTCATAATAAAGAAAATCACCCCTCAGAGCTCAAATAACGTAAGCAGTTTTGTTCTATTCTCAATTAAATGAGGGTATTTTCACTGACAGGTTAATTAGATTTTGCACATTTTGTCAGCCAACTCCACATTCTTGTTTTAATTAAAACAAGCTACTATATTAAATTTGAATATTCTAGTAGTCTAGGTTAATTCAGTGCTGCTAGTGTCAGCTCTCGTATGAGAACCTGGATGTATGGCATAAAATTATCACCTACAGAATGCTGTATAAATCTGCTCATTCTGTTGTGGTATATGCATTCTGTAGGATTATTTCATCTTTATTATGACTTATATTGTTATGAATTGCTAAATTCACTAGCTTTGGCCCCCCAGAAGAGCAGCTACCTCTATGAAAGCAGAAGTCACAATATTAAATAGCACCAAAAAAATAAAACAACCAAACTTCATTTTCATTCTTTATCCTCCAAATTCCAATCACTTGGTCCTGCAGTCCCAAAAGGTGAGTTGATGTGCTAGCTCATGAAATCACAAGATAGAAAAGATCTGTTAGGTCACTTAGTTGTTTCCCCTTCCAATGAAGGATAGTTGCCTATTGTTAGGCTTGGCAGAATTCAGTTTTTATTATTTATAATTTTGACAGATATCAATGTTTATTTTTAAGCATTTTTTTTCTATTTTTATCCATTTAAATTTTCAGTTGTGGGAAATTATGGAGGGGACAAGCAATAACTATTTAATGACCGTAGATGTTGAGACTCAAAAAGTTAAATGGTTATAACTGTTAAAAAAACAAATTGTCAACATCCCATGTCAAAATATACAAAGTACTTAGCCATAAATCAAACTCTAATAAGTTTTCAAACAAAATTTTTATTTCTTTTTGTATTTGTAAATTTTGGTTATTATCATTGGAAATATTTTTTGTTGGTTTGCCTGTAAGGTGAAATAGATGTTTGTTGACATTTACCAATTAAAATTCAATCCTTCCAAGCCTACCTATTTTACATTTACTAGGGCTTTGTTCATTCTTGTTCTAAAAGTGCCAAGTCATGGGGCTTCTACCAGTTCTCTTGTGATCATTCTACAGGCTAATATTTTGTCCAGCAGAAGTTTAATGGTTAGACACAGAGCTGAACACAAGGTCTGTGTTCTAGATCCAACTAGGTGGTCTTAGGCAAAACTGCCTCAATTTCATCATCCGTAAAATGGGGTTAACACGTAGTGTACAGGGTTATTATGGATTAATGAGAGTGTGTGCGAAGTGCTGTATGGCTATTAAGTATTGGTAACAGGAGCAAGAACAGCGGTCACAATTACATGTTTTACAATTACCTTTGTAAGTAAATAATGTTGCCACAGTGTTCCCTGGCCTATGCTAAGTATAGAGAACAAAGGCAAAATTGTAACGAGTTTCGTGCAGATGGCTGTAAGCCTGGGCAATATCAGTGGTTTTCTTATTAAGATCTTAAAGGGAAAACCAATGTCTGTTCCAGGGCAAAACTTTCAGTATCTGGCGGCTGAACGACCTGCGTGATCTGAACAGCTGTGTCTCGTTGTTTTTGTTTGGTGATGTCCACAAAGAACACTGGAAGACAGACCAAGGCATGGTCATCGGGCTGCTCAATGCTAATCCCATGAAACCTAAAGAAGGCTCGGATGAGGTAACAGTGGGGTTTTTTTCCCCTTGAACTCATAATTTTATTTGGGCTGTTGCTGGGAAATGTTTCAAAACACTTAGCCCAACTGATGATGGAATTCACAGTGCCCTCAGAAGGAAAAGTGCTTGGAAACTCATATCCCACCTTGCAATGCATTCTATAAAATACCTCCAGCCTTACCACAGCTCCTTGTCTTGTTTCCCTGGAACCCTGAGCATATAAAGCTGAAATTTCCTTTTCCTCACTTGACAATAAATAGATTATCTGTCGAGAGGGTGTCTCGTTTTTCCCCTTTCTTTCCTTTCCTTTCCTTTTTCCCAATCTGAGCAGAAGGCTAGGAGTTTTTACCTCCCTTTTCCATTAGGGCCACTGTTTTTCAGTAATTCTCCCTGTACATGATTTATGGGCTTATAGTGGTATTTGACCTCTTGTCACGATGACTGCCAATCAACTTCTGAGGAAGGCCAACACCCCTTCTGGTACAGGCGCACAGTGGGTTAGCCTGAACCCTCAGTGTACAGTGGGTTAGCCTGGTATAAATCTTTCAATTAAAGTGAACTGTAAAAGATGCTAACTTCCAGTACTGACATCTGAAGCCCTCTGTCTATCCACAGAATGCCTACAGCATGGTCTGTAACAATGCAGCCTAGTCATACCAATATAGCTAAGCTCTGTTCCAAGGGTGACCATGTTCAGGGCTGAGCAGGTATTTGGTCTCCATGCCTGTTCAGTCTTTGGCTTCTCTGTGGAGACTGCCAGCAGCCGGGCCACTTGATGGTGGCTTTAGTCGTGCAAACACACGTTCTCTAGAAATTAGGACTGAGACCATCTACTGGCTCATAATCCATCAATTGGCTGTCCTGTGGTAAATTACATTTGGTCACTACCAACCTAGACAGGAGCTGAACCAATGACCTGGAGATCAAAGGCTCTGTTTCATTGCCATCCTTTGACCCATCGAGCCCCTCTCCAGAAGTCTGTTTATTGAGCCTTGGGTTTACTCTTTGTGCTGTTTCTTTTTAGATGTGTTTGTCTGTTGATCACCCCCAGAAGATCTTACTTTTGGGTGAAGCTCTGGACCTGGGAACCTGCAAAGCTAGGAAGAAGAGTGGGGACCCATGTACACAGATTGTTAACCTGGTATGTATCTATTAGTCTCTAGGCTGTCATTGAGCTGTTGTTGTTGTGGGTCACTGATGAAGGAAAATCTGGCTGGTGCCTTTGAGCCAGTGCTCTGATTCTGTGCATTATTATTGGATCGTAATTTATAACGTGTGTGTGTGTGTGTGATTAGTTGTGTCAATGGGCCTGCAGGTGCTCTGCAGGTGGCTTGCCTCAGTTTCCCCATCTTTCAGGGCTCTCTCAATCAAATTGCTAAAACTCTTCTCAAGTCCAGAAACGCACCTTCCTCAGGCAAGATTTATTAACAGAATATTCAAAATAAAATTTCTCAAATCCCCATCAAATCTTGACTCCTCATCTTCCTGCTTGGGTTCTCCCAGGCCTTCTCCGCCTCTAGCCTTTTCCCTGAAAACTCAGGGTTCCCTGCTGGAGTCTACTTACTCCCTGCAGCCATTCCCTGCTGTCTCAGGCCTCTGCTGAAGTATCTTATGCCCAAAGACTCTGCAAGCTCTCTCTCCGTGAGCATCCCCCCTTCTCAGCAGCTTCCTGCTTCTCTTTATAGGTGAATCATAGAATGGTAGGACGAGAAGGTTGCTCAAGAGGTCATCTAGTCCAGTCCCCTGCACTCATGGCAGAACTAAGTATTATCTAGACCATCACTGACAGGTGTTTGTCTCACCTGCTCTTAACCCAGCTTGTTCTACTAACTAAACCCCACACCTCATCTTAGGTGTGGCAGTCAGGGCTAATGATATGAGACTGGCCGGCTCCAGGCCTTTCGGGGCAGGCCACCCCATTAAAAGTGGTAAGGTCAAGAAGGAGGAAATGAAATCTTAATCTAATCTAAATATCCTTTGGCCATCATATGCTATGTTAAGATGTGAGCTTTGACATCTCTGCAAGGGACCTTATGAGAGCACATCCCCTCTGATAATCTTTGGGTTCAGTTCTACCCAGATATATACACAAGCAAATGCATCTTGAAAACTGTTCCCATGTGACTAAGACTCAGTACATGCTCACAGCTCTGATGTCAAGACCACGTATCAAGAGTATAGTGTTGTGAAGAAGGGGGTGTGTGGGTGTAGGGAATATTTTAGTTTCCACTAGCGTCTGAGTTGGTGATAGTTCATCCAGGCTGAGAGATCAGACAGATGTGGGGATGATAAGAGAGAGGAATCGTCCCAATAAGAGCAGAGCCAAGTACCCACAGGTAAGTGTAGAAGGAAAAGAGTACAGACTCAGTACAGAACCTTGAAGGATACCAGCAGAGTGGAGGAGGATTGGAAGTGGGGTAGAAGCATTTGGAGATGGAGGAGGACAGCAATTGTATAAGACGTTTGCAACAACATTGGAACGTGCTTACACATCAGCACATGGAGACATGGGTGTGCAGTATCCTAAACCGCAACTGCATCAATAAACATCTAGTGCCAGCAATAATGAGCCAAGGGGAGGACATTTCCTGGCAGCTAAATTGGCTGGAGGAGGTGACTGGCTGTTGGCTAACAGGCACAATGTGCCTGATCTGGAGGTTCTTGCTACTAGAAACCCTGTACATAGAACCATATAGAGAATGATGTTATTTTGGTTTTGATGGAAAGTTAATGAACACCATGGGTGGAGGGTGCTGTTCACAGTATTGATCCCTCCCTACAGACAGACTAGGACAGTCACTGATTTTAATCTATGTTCTCTCCTGGATTTATATTGAAACATGTCTGTAAACTTTTTTAAATGGCTGTAGGAAACATCTAATTTTTAGTGTTGCTTTTCTTCCATGTCTATGCTTGTAAAGAAGCTATGTAACTTTGAAGGTCATGAGCCATGGCCACATATATACTGATGACCCAGGTGTCTGTGAGGTCAAACCTTGGACCTTCAGACTTTGAGAATGAGCTATTCTAACAGGGAATATGTAAGACATTAGTGTGTGGGATCTTGTCTACCTCTAGTGACTGGTCCCTGCACTATAACAGCCGTCAACCCACAGTGGTAGAGGCCTGTGTGTCACATTCAGTACTTGCTGGTGACTCATGATGTCTGTACAAGCACAGCTTAGTTACAAAAAGATATTGTTGTTTTTCTCAGGGGAAATGTTATCTATCAATCTCCAGTTAGTCTTCAATAACAGAGCTGCCTTATTTCTTTCCTTCAGAATGACTGTGAATATTGCCAGTACCACGTACAATCCCAGTACAAGAGGCTCAGCTCAAAGCGGGCAGATTTACAGTCTAGCTTCTCCAGTGGCCGTGCTCCAAAAAGGATAGCTCGCAAAAATCCCAGCTTGAAGGAGAGGCTCTGTCAGGATGGGTTTTACTATGGAGGTGTTTCTTCGGCAGCCTATGCAGCCTCAGTGTAAGAGAAACTGCTTAATTTCCTTGCAGCCCTTGGCTCTTTGACAGAATTCCCATCCTAACTACGTATAAGTGTGTCCTGAAGTTATCTTTAAAGAGACCAGCATTCCTTTGGGTTAACTAAATTAACCAAACAGGAATCAAACTGCTCTGAGCCACATCACATTTGGCAGGGAGCCTGCCTGGCCACCCCAGGTAAGCAGAGTCAGTGCTTGGATGGAAAACATCTTCCTATCCTTGAGGTGGTGTTGGTGAGTCGGTATGTGATGTTCTTACCTCAGAATCCTTACCACAACAATACCGCACTGTGAGGCTGGGGGTGCTGTGCTGCTCTCTTTCAAAGGAGGGGTAAAACTTAAGTCCTGAGCACTTAGGATCATTAAAGATCCCCTGGGCATTTTTAACCACTGTGTCCTGGCTAAATGTTATCTTGGGTAATTACATTCTGATATATATCCCTGTATCTTGTGGTTGTTTTTTTTTTTTTGTACTTCCTAACCTTAATGATATGATGTTGCTGTGTGTTATTAAATAGTTACTGCCTTGCACCTGGGAGTGGTGGACAAAGTGAACTATATGTATCTGGTTGCTACTTCACATGGGTTCTGAGACTTAATTGGACCCTTTCCAAATCCCAGTGAAGTCAGCAGTGGAAAGACTCCCATTGACTTGAGAGGAAGCTGTATCATGCCCAATACTTGCAAATCATGTTTAGGATTCTCCTAACAATGCTACCTGATTACCTCATTAAATGACGTGTGGCTGTATGTAGCAATCTCTCCTGTCTTTTTCTGGAGCTAATATTAGCCAGGTTTCATCAAAGTCTCTGTGTCTCTGGAATACTCAGAAGTGTATATCTAAATCTAGGCAGAAATGGGAAACCCAAGTCTTTGAGATACAAAAGATTACAGCACAATGTCCCTACTTGTGAGGGAAGCACCTGCTCAGAGTGAATGATGGGTAATTGGAGCATTTGGGGAGTTGCTGAGCTGATACTCAAACTCCAGTATTGCTCCTCACCCTTTACTTCACGTCTTGGAGCAGCACTCACTTTTTGTGGGGTTTTGTCTCTGTAGTGCAGCAGCTGCAGCCCCTAAGAAGAAGATACAAACCACTCTCACGAATCTGGTCGTCAAAGGAGCCGATGCAATTGTACAGGAAACTAGAGAGAAAATAGGTAACTTTCTTTTTTCCCATCACATGCTTGCCGCCTGCTGTGTGACATGTCTGTGGAGCCCATAATGTGTGAGCTAGTTTAGAGCCTCTGGGAAATTCTGTAGTTACAAAGATGCCCGGTCTGAATTCACTTCCCCAAATGATCGAAACTTCTCCCCCTGGTATCACAGCTGCAGGGAAAAAGGTGCCCAGAGATTGTCCAGTTCTCTTCAAAGTTTGTTTTGCACCTCCCTTTTTATTATACAACCTCCTGCATGCACATAACTCTGGGATAGAAAATTACTGGCCAAAGTCTGGAACTTGAACCATCGAGTCCTTGGCCAGCATGAAAAAGTTACTGCTAGACTGTGGTAGTTCTAAGATCTCCAGTTGTGAATCACTGGCCTGAAAACAAATGATTTAAACCATTGGAAATAGGGTGTTCATGATTTCTGGGGACATTGAGTATGCCCCGAAGAGAGGCATTCTGGGGCGGTCCCAGCACAGTCATGGGAGGTGGGGACCTCGGAGTTCTAATCCTGGCTCTGACACACTTCTTCCATGACATTGAGCAAGTCACTTAACCTCTCTGCCTCCGTTTCCCTTTCTGTAAATAGGATTGCCCTTGTTGGGCTGCCCAGAGGAGAAAGGAAGGCTGGTCTAGTGATTAGGACACTAGTGTGGGACTTGGGAGATTTGGTTCAATTGCCTGCTCCGGTTGGTGTCTTTCTGTGTGATGCTGGACAAGTCACTTGGTATCCCTCTGCTTCAATTCCCCCTTTGTAAAACAGGGATAATAGCACGTCCCTACCTCCCAGGGGCATTGTGAGGATAAATACATTAAAGATAGTGAAGTGCTCAGATACTAGAGTAATGGGCCCATCTAAGTACCAAAAATAAACAGGTGGGATTTTGGGAAGCTAGTTTGTGACCTCTGTTAAGATGAGAGTAATATGTGAGCACTGAATATTATGTTTCATAGCAATTCTCTTGTTAGAAATGTCTGATGCATCAAATGTGAGTGCTGAAGCCAGAGCTTTCCCTTCCTGGTTCTGAGTCTGTTGGGTTTTTTGTGCGCTGCTCCAGGTATGGCGAAGAAACCCATGCCGTGTACTGATGAGTTCAAAGAATTGTTGGCAATGCCAACCTTTGGAGCACGAAACCTCTGCAAACACTTGGCCAAAGCAGATGCAGCAGGTATGTCCAGGTACTCCCGTAACACTCCCCTTTGCAGAGCCGTGGCTCATTCCTTGCAAGTCTCAGTGTCTGTATATTTATTTCAGATGTTCGAGGGAAGCAAGGATCTGCTTTCCAGTCTATCTCCGCTTCAGCACTGATCAAACAACAGAAGCAGCAAATGCTGGAGGCCAGAAAAAAGCGATCAGAAGATATACAGAGGCGGTAAAACTCTCTCCAGCATCTGCTGATGTTTTACAGGCAGACTGTCCTGTAGGGTGGGAGGGTTTAAAGTTTTATAAAACCTAATTTAACTAGGAATATCATGAGGCTTATTTCAATGAACAGCCAAATGCCCCAGCATTGTGCCTGAGAACCAGAAAGGATAAAGCAGGGAGAGTGTTAGAGCAGGAGGCTGGGAACTATGATTCCTGGGATCTGCCCACTCTGTGACTGACCTACCTACTTCACAGGGTTGCGCTGAGCCTTAACATTTGCAAAGTGGTTTGAGCTCTGATTAAAAGGAAACTGACCGGCCTAACTGCGCTATGCAACTATAGCAATACAGGCAAGGCCTCTTTCATTGAACAATGGCTTACAACGTGTCTTCTAAAGTCAATTGTACTATTTCGAGCTTTTTTGATTTGCCAGGGTGACCTATGACTATACTTCAGTGTTTTTTCCTTTTTTAGGTTTCTTCAGACTACAACAAAAACCAATAGCCCAGCTTTACCATCCTCCTCAGGGCTCCGCTCTCCAACCCCAGGGGCTGAATTTCCCAAAGCTGCAAAAATGTCAACCCCTCAAACACCCAGGCTGGGGATAGGCTTCACTGAGGGCGATGATGTCCTCTTCTTTGATGATTCTCCACCTCCAGTACCAAAATTGAATGGTTTAGCAGAAGCTAAAAAGGTAACAATCCCTTTGATTGGTTGGACTTTGAGCTCCTGACATGGGTCATGTTGCAACATGCAGCCTTGACTTCCGAGATCAACCTGTTAAGCTCTGTTGTGCCCCACTGTAAGCTTCTAATTCCTATTAGCTGTTATTGTCCAAGACACATGCTACTAGTATGTCTTTTTGTAAATATTCAAAGTGATAGGATATCTGCTAAAGAAAATCTCTATTAGCCAGGATGGGTAAGGAATGGTGTCCCTAGCCTGTGTTTGTCAGAGGATGGAGATGGACGGCAGGAGAGAGATCACTTGATCATTACCTGTTAGGTTCACTCCCTCTGGGGCACCTGGCATTGGCCACTGTTGGTAGACAGGATACTGGGCTGGATGGACCTTTGGTCTGACCCAGTACGGCCGTTCTTATGTTCTTATCTGCAAGTTTCTTTTAGCGCCCAGTTATTAGAGTGATTTATACAGAAATCTCCAATGATGTTTCCTTGCTGCTTTGAAAATGCAATTTTCTTTTTTCTAGCTCCTCTCTATCTTGTGCGGTATCTTGGTCTGGATCTCAGACATGTAACTCCGTAACACGCCAATGAGAATTATCAGCCTCATTTTACAGATTGGGAAACTGAGTCAGAGGTTGGGAGACTTGGCAAAGGCTCCACTACTAGGAAATGGCAGAGTTGGGATTAGAATTTGGTTGGGATGCCCATGCTCAGTCTAGAACACCTTATTGCCTCTTCCAGTTGACATTTTCCCAGCTGCCTTGGAATTAGGAATGTGTGACCTTGGATACGTGTGTTCAACGTTAACATTTTAGTTCCCATTTTCTAGTTGGCTGCTATAAACAAACTGCGAGCAAAAGGCCAAATCCTCAATAAAACCAACCCAAACAGTGTTAAACGGAAACGACCTGATCTTGCCGATGTTCTGGAGATCACGGAGAGAGTTGAGAAAAACATCCCCTCATCACAAGGTATGAAAGCACAGAACTGACTTTAAAAAGTGAGTGTGTTGTACACACTACCCTCCAAGTATCACCAGGTGCCTTATGACTAGCTATGTTAAGCTCAGCAGCTGCTGATGAATTACTTTTGTAACTAAAATCACACACTGGGTCAAAGAGATTTGGAACTAAAACAGGTTTTAAACCTGATTTTAAAAGGCCTAATTCCATGATGGATCTGGTGACAAAGGTTGGGTATCCTGCTGCTATGGAGACAGACCCTGAAAGCTCTAGGCTTCAATAGCTCCAGCCTCGTATATTCATCGTCTATGGCTCCCATCACTATAGTACCTTAGCACCTCCCAAACATTCATGAATTTATCCTCCCAGCACCCTCCCGAGGGAGGGAAGTCTGACTCAGTTTCACAGATAGGGAACTGAGACTAAAGGACTTGCCCAATATCATGCAATCTAAATAATAATAAAGCAGCAAATAACTGGGCTTCTGTATAAAAGCAGTGCTCTTTTCTTCTGAGTTCGGTTTGCTCATTTTGCATTATGTGGAACAGTAGCTCAGCGATTTCCCTTTGTATCTAATAGTGGAAATTCCGCTCGGAGTGGACTATTAAAATAGATATCAATATTACCTTTCCAATTGTCCTGTTGCATTATAAAATGTATCTGAAATGGTATTGGATCACTACCTTTAAATCTAACAGAATGCTGAGTATTTAATCTGTCAGAGATCGTGCCCAGAATTTTTAAAAAAATTAAAAATAGGATGAGTGTTGTTGGATTTTCTGCTGTTGGAAGGAATAGAAACACAAAATTTGTAATTCTGGTTTTAAATCTTTAACCTAGTCATGATCTCTAGTTGTGATTTTTTTTTTTTAAATGTGTATTAAGTTACTAAGTGCTCCTGGATCATATATGATACAAGAGCTGAGAGCACTGTAGAAACATCAACGTATTTATTCATGAATATATCAAGTATGTTGCAGTCGTTGGCTGGAAGATGTTCTAGCAGAGCAAAGCATTGTATAATGCCTCACAGTCGTCCTGTGAGATAAATATTCTCCCCATTTCCGTGAAGTGCACACTGCTCCATTTGTCACAATGGAGTCTTAACTCTGAAATCAAGAGATGACAATTTAGGCTGGGAATTCCAATTGTGCCCAATTGATGTAGGAGCAGGAGTCCCACGGACTCTGAGAGCCTTCTTTTCCTAAATCTCCTAATCCCATCCTAAAATGTCATCCTTAGTTTTCAGAGTTAACAATCCATCATGATGAATGGGGTATGCACAAGTCTCTTTGAAAGGCAAAGGGAATTGTGCTCCTAAGTCAGTTAGGCATGATTGAAAATCTCACTTGTAAATGTCACTATTGCTGACTACTTTGCTGTTGATCATTTTATCAGAAATATTTCCTGATGCTTTACTTATCCCACAGCACTTCCCTTGGCTTCTTCAGTATCATCTTTAGCTTGATCCCCACTCTCCCCAAACAACTTCCCCAATACTACTGGCTGTTAGCAGTGCAGCATATTGCAAATGTGGGCTTATCATAAACTGACTATCCCAGTAGGTAACAGGCGCTCTGCTATCCTGATTGACCTTCATAGTTAATTGGTTACAAGCCTCTTCGTTTTATTGAGGCTGTTGCAGAATTTCTAGTCTGCTGCACCAGTGTTCTGCAGAATCCAGGGATAATACTGCAGAATTTAGGTCCAGCTTGGTACAGAATACACTGGGCTTTGATCCTACTCGGGCAAGGAATCCGGCTCTCTGTGAGCTGAGGGGTGAAAACATTATCTACTACCTGCTGTTCTAGGCCTGTTTTCCTCCCATTGCCTCAAGGTTTTATAGTATTTGTAATTGTACACAAATTGCATACTTGGCTAAATCTCATCAAGGAAAGCAATTTAGTGGCTACAGTGTGAGAGTGATTCCTAGCTTTTCCTTCCAGTTCTGCTCCTGACTTGCTGTGTGAATTCTGGTAAGTCACTTAACCTCTGGTTGAGTTTTCCCCTCTGCATGATGGGAATAATACCAATCTCATAAGTGTTGTGACGCTTAACTGTTTGTAAAGTGCTTTGAGATCTGCAGAAGAGGAAGCTGACATTGTTAGTAGCATTTTATTTTCTCTTGTGACCGGATTGGAATTTGGCCTAAGATCTGTAGCTACTGCACTAATTACACATCCTATTCTCATTCACTTCTCCTTTACAAAATGTTATTTCATACAACCTGAGACATCGCTTCGAGTTCTTGTTGTTTGTAAAGTACAAAAGGATGCTTATGCTTAGAAAGCAGAGCATGATTTTAAACTCACCCCGTGGCACGAACAGCAAACCTCTCTTGTTTCTCTAGCTGCAGATGAACTAGAACCTGCCCAAAAGAAACGTCGAGAACAGCTGGCATATCTGGAATCTGAAGAGTTCCAGAAAATCCTGAATGCCAAGTCCAAGCACGTGGGCGTCCTTAAGGAGGTAAGTGCTTTGTACATATACTTGCAATGAGAGTTAAAGTTCAGGATCATTACAAATAATTAGACACTCTAACGTCCAAACCTAGGTGAGTGGTACATGAGCTTTTACAAAATATACATTGAATAGAAATGTTTCCACAATTTAAAAAAATTCCAGTGAAATCCGTTTGTTTGAATTTCCACATTCCCTTGTAGACACTGTAACATTGTGTGAATATTACTCCTGGGGGAATTCTGCGCCACTGCACAATGCAGAATGTAGCTGAGTTCTGGGGGCAAAGGGGTATGGGTGTCTGGGCTGGAGGATGTGCCCTGCGACTGGGCTCTGGGGGGTAGGGGATGAGGGTGTCTGGGAGGGTGCCCGCAGCTAGGCTCTGGGGGAAGATGGAGTGCGGGTGTCTGGGTTGCGTGGGGGGGAGGAACAGCTGAGTTCTGGGAGGAGGTGGGTACGAGTCTCTGAGCTGGGAGGGCTGCGGCTGGGCTCTGGGGAGGGAGGGGTGCAAGTGTCTGGGCTCTGGGGGCTGCCCCACAGCTGTGCTCGGGGAGGAGGGAAGGGGTACAGGTGTCTGGGCTCTGGGGGCTGCCCCACGGCTGTGCTCAGGGAGGAGGGAGGGGGTACAGGTGTCTGGGCTCTGGGGACTGCCCTGTGGCTGGGCTCTGGGGGGTAGGGGATGCAGGTGTCTGAGCTGGGGGGGTACCCCGCAGCTGGGCTCTGGTGGAGGCTGTGTGGGTGTCTGGTCCCTCAGCTGGGCTCTGGAGGGGAGGGAGCAGAGAAACAGGAACTAGGTTGTCATAGGAGTTTCTTTAACTCTCTACTCCTAGGGGGATGATGTTTTGTGTCTGACATAGTTGCTGACAGGTATTTTGAAATAAATTACCAAAATAATTGAAACTGGTGTGATTATATTGTGTTATTTTGACAAATAAAATATGCAGAATTTTGCAGAATTTTAAAATATTGTGTGCAGAATTTTAATATTTTGCTGCAGAATTCCCCCAGGAGTATAATATATGAAAGCTAGGAGGTGAAACGGACTAGTCTAGCATCATTGTTCAAGCTGCATGAGGTGCAAAAAGCCAATGAAAACACAGCTATTAAATATCTAAATTATACTGTCAGGTTTAATATTAGATGGGGTGATAACACCAAGACTTTAGATTTTTAACTTGACAGTGTCCCTTTAAGACACAGTTGCAAAGGTGTGTGTAATAAGTGAGATGCTCACATTGGTTATAATTCTTAGTGTAGTTCTAGCACTTTTCATGGGAGGAGCTCAGAATGCTTTACATGGCCCTATTCTGATTTAAAATCAGTGTATTTGCACAATAGAATATTTTTAATCTTTATATTTATTTTGTAAAATTGACATCTTCTGTTCTAAAGACCAGTTTAGTCTCAGTGTGAACCTACAAGTCCTGATTTTTTAAATTTATTGTTAAAGGCTAGTAACTGCTCTGGCACCTAATATAAGCTTTTTGAATAAGAATTTTCATTTTCCTTTATTGTCCTTAGCACAATCCTGCAAGTGTTCCTGAGATGCTGAATGTTCAGTGCCCCCATGTAGCATATACACTTAGAAACACCCTGAAATGCAGCTTTGCTTTGAGGAGTGACTAAAACCAGCACACTAGTATGCAAGACAGAGCAGTTGAGGCACCCCCTGGAGCAAACCATCGTGAATCTGCTCCAGGGTGCTGGCCTACGCGTTGTGGGACAGGTGCAATGCCCCTGTGCCCCGCAGCGCCGGCAGGGAGCGTTGTAAGTGGCCAGGGCCGGCTCCGGGGTTTTTGCCGCTCCAAGCGGCGGGGGGGAAAGCCGCGATCGGCGGCACTTCAGCAGCAGCTCCACCATGCCACTTTTCTTCTTCGGTGGCACTTCGGCAGCAGGTCCTTCCTTCCGAGAAGGACCGAGGAACCCGCCTCCGAAGAGCCGGACGTGCCGCCCCTTCCCCTTGGCCGCCCCAAGCACCTGCTTGCTGCACTGGTGCCTGGAGCCGGCCCTGTAAGTGGCAGTGTGCGTGAAGCAGAATGGCTAGTGTGACCACCGTGCAGTATTGCAGTTTGCACTGGCTCAATCCCAGCAGTGCTGGTTGCAGTTATGTGAGTCTCTGGTGTGGCAGACAAGGCTTTTGAGAGCCCAGGTGACTTCGCATAGCTCCACTGAGGCTGGAGCTGTAACTTCCAGCTCAGGTAGACATTCCCCCGCAAGCTTTGATCGAGTTAGCATGCTAAAAATAGCAGGGTAGCTGTGGCGGGATGGGCTTGCCACCCCGCATACAGTCCTGTCTGAGACCCTAGGTGTGTACACGAGCAGCTGGCCCATGCCATGGTGGCTGCACTGCTATGTTTATAGTGCTGACTTGATCAAAGCTAGTGCAGGAGTGTCTGCCTACGCTGGAAATTACACCTCTAGCAGCAGTGTAGATTTACCCGGAGAGGAGGATTTGACCCACTCCCTGTCATTTTACTGCTAAACTGGTCAAATTTGATCTGAAGTCCGAGCCAGAGACTTGAAACACCAAAGCCGGACTAGTTCCTGGTACGAGGGCATTTACACCTTGTCAGCCTCGGTCCCTGTTTTCCTTTACTCACTCTTCTGCAGTTAGCTGCCATCTAGCACCCTGTCTGTCCCCACCTGCCTGACATGCACTCTGTACTAACAGAACATCAGCTTGTGGCCCTCCTCCTCTTCCTCCAGTCTGGCTTGCTCCCCACCCACGCTCCATCCATGTGGCCTCCATCTCTCCCTTTCTGTAAACCATAAGGGAATTGAGGTTTCTCTGGAATCTAGTTCTCCCCTGTGCACAACTGAGCGTGCCAGTTGTCAGCACCAGGAGCCCCAGTCATGTGATAGGACCCCATTGTGCTAGATGCTGGACAAACAGAACAACATGACAGCCCTGTCCCAAAGAGTTTATAATCTAAGCAGTTGTTTTATAGCAGGCCAGCTATTGCAGATATTCATATCTATGGAGTCACTTTGCTCTCCAGAAAATGGACACATGCTTATTTCATTCCACTTCTGTGTTATAACCATGGCTGCGGGCAGAGGGCTTGCAGAGCCCAAGCCTTTGTGGGCAGTGGTACAGGCGATCCAGTAGATGGCGCTCTTTCCTCTGAGACAGTATCATAGAATCATAGAAGATTAGGGTTGGAAGAGACCTCAGGAGGTCATCTAGTCCAACCCCCTGTTCAAAACAGGACCAGCCCCAACTAAATCAAGCCGGGCCTTAAAAACCTCTAAGAATGGAGATTCCACCACCTCCCTAGGTAACAGTACTGTAACAACTCCCCAGGATGGTGTGAGGGGCACAGTGTGGCTTGAGATGAGATGTGTAAACCGAAGATGCTAATCAGTAAAGATCTCACGGCACTCTTCGTAAGAGTCTGAATGCTGATTATGGCGGCCTGGGCAAATCCCAGTTCAGGTCATCCTGCATGCCTCCCTGCACTTTACACTTCAGTACAGAAGTGAGTACTGTACCTAAGTTGTGTGTTATCTCAGATGCTGTTTCAGAGCTCTACCTGGGAGATGGCTGCATTTCAGCAGCGTGTGCATTATATACTGTACTTTTTCAAACAAGGAGCGCACACAAAATGGATTATTCGGAGCTTCTGAACATTCATCTGTCTTTCAGAGATTTCAGTCTCTCCGGGGCAGTATGTGGCCGTCCTGGCCAACCCACTAGATGTGGAACTGCTTGCACTGTTTCTAGGTGTGCTGTTTGCATATCAGACAACAGTGCCTCTCTTGTGCTTTGGCAGGCTGAGGCTGCGCTGCAGGAACGCTACTTTGAACCTCTGGTGAAAAAGGAACAACTGGAAGAGAAGATGAAGAACATTAAAGAAGTGAAGTGTCGGGTTGTGACGTGCAAAACGGTGAGTGACCCTGGAGCAGGAAGGGGTGTGGAGCATGCAGACTGGTTTGAACTGGATTTGAGTGAGGAGTTTAGCTGCTATCTCTGCTGAAGCCTGGATTGGTGATTAGCAAGAAAACTACTTGATCCTTATGAACGTTCTTGATTAGACCAGCTGGAGCGGTGAGTGATATTGAGGGAGTTAGAGCTTTGGTGAAATAGCACAGACTTTGGTATTGCATTTGAGCTTTCCAGAAGCAAAGTGAAATGCCCCTTTGTGTGCCAATGGGTTCCCAGTACATAAGTCACTCTGGGGAAGATCTGCTTCCCAGCAACTGATTACCAGGTTGTTTCACTTAGATCAGAGTTGATAGTCTCCCATGATTCTTGCCAGTCTGAAACTTTGTACTGGACTCTGGAGTATTCTAGGACTGGGTGAAGAATGAGCTCAGGTGCCTTGGAACATAGCAAAAGGCATCCTAACGACTAGATTCTTTAATCTGCATTTCAGTGGCTCCATTTGGAAGACGGAGGTGGTGTTTTACCATCATTTAAAATGCCATGGGGCAGGGAGAAGTTTCTTCTTGCCTGAATAGTTTGAACCGCTGACATACTTTCTCTCCTATCTGTCTATAGCTACACAGAAGGCTATCTGTACTCTGCACTTTGCAGGGAATTGGGCCAAACATGACAAAAGGTGGTAGAGAAGAGAGAGGTGCAGAATGGGAAGGGTTTGGAGGCAGTGATCTTATCAAGTGGGCCATTCTCTCTGGGCATGCAAGAACAAGAGGTGGGGGGGCGATCCTGCTTATCCTGAATGAACACTGTTCTCCTTGGACAGCAGAATAACACTTCTTTCACTTATAGTGTCTCTGCTTCTCTCATAGTGTTCTCTCTCTCTCTCTCTCTCCTTGCAGTGTAAATACACCTATTTCAAGCTCCTAGAGACGTGTGTGAAGGAGAATCATGAATACCACTGGCATGATGGTGTCAAGCGATTCTTCAAGTGTCCCTGTGGAAACAGAGCCTTATCTCTTGACAGGCTACCGAAAAAGCCCTGCAGGTAGGAGGGGCTCCCTGCAATACGTTAGCAGGTTCAGTTGCACCAACCAATAATCTGAGGACACTTTATCCCAGTAACATTAGCATGTGCTAATGCCCAGAACTGTCACCCCCTGCTGATAAGCATCATGGGAGGGATTTGGGGTGGTTAGAGATCCTCTGTACAGGGCACCAAACTAACCCCAAATCTACACTACAAACTTATATCAGTATAACTACATCGCTCAGGAGTGTGAAAAGTCTACAACTCTGAGCAATGCAGTTATCCCCACCCAACCTCCCGGTGTAGACAGCACTATGTGGGCGGGACAGCTTCTCTCACCGACACAGCTACCGCCTCTCGTGGAGGTGGATTAACTATGCTGACGGGAGACTCTCCTGTTGGTGTAGTAGCGTTTTCATTAAACGGCGACAGCTGCACCGCTGTACATGAAGACAAGCCCTAACACTCCATCTTCCTCTTTCAGCGCCTGTGGCCTCTTCAAATGGGAACGCGATGGAATGCTCAAGGTAAGCCTGGGCCAAAGCTCCCTGTTGCACTGTGGGAACTGGGCTGCTTTAGTTAGTGGGTTTTCCCAAGCTTTGCTTTGGCACTAATCTGAGCTGTCTGAGAAGGGGACAGCTTCTCTATTTAAAAAATAGCCGGGGCCCAAACCACCACACGCTATGGTAAGATGTAAAGTCTTCCACTCCTCCTGAAGTATCTGTAGTGGAATGATGTGGAGACTGACTTGTCCATATGTTGAATGGTAAAAGGCCCGTGCCATCACTGTACGCCCCCTTATGGCCGGGGATGGTGCTGCAGATGTGCCCAGCATTACTTTCTCCGATTGGTGTCAGTAAATTCATGGGCGAGGGGAAGCCAAACACTAACAAAATGGAAGGAGCATTTGTAACAGCAGATCATACGGCCTACCTCAGGATGCTGACTCAGAGCTCCCAAACTGCAAGTCCACAAAGCAGTCTCTGAGCTTGGTCAGGCTGGTCTCCGGGACCCTGAGAGAGAGCATGACCACCCATTGCAGCCTACAATGCTTCTAGTCCTCTCGCCCCAGTTCAGCTTCCTTATCCTGTTTAAAGAGGCCAGCCCTAGGGAAAGCTCCCCTGATTACAGCCAGGCTGCTTTGGTTGTGAGCTCCTGCCTGGAGCGGTAGTACATTCCGCGTAGACATTAATGCAAATTTACGACGACTTTGTTTTTCCAAGATGTACCTTACCCCAGTGGTTTTCAACCTTTAGTTATTTGCGGACCCCTAAAACATTTTGAACGGAGGTACAGGTCCCTTTGGAAATTCAACCTGTGGTCCACAGACTCCTACCATAGAAGTCTTAGACTGAAAACCGACTGAACAGAGTTCAGTTACAACTGTTGCATGTGCTCAGCACGGCATTTGACGTGTCAGAAAGGGCACTAAACTGTGGGCTTCTATGGTAACGACAACACTTTCAGGTTTTGACCTGTAGATGGGGTATTCACGTACAGTACTTCTGATTGATCCGAAAAATGGAATGCCTTTTCTGGGATCTGAAACTTTTTTTTCGTAGTCACCTTTCATGGATCCCTTAGACATAGTCTGCGGACCCCCAGGGATCCATGGACCATAGTTTGAAAACCACTGGCTTAGACCAACAAAAGCAAGGAAATTCCAGGCTCAGATGGCTGTCCTGTTCTGGTCACTGACAGTTTAAAAATGATACTGTTGTAAACATAAAATATATTGCTGCCTTGCTTACAAATAACACTTTAGATTTTTAGGTACTTAAGTTTTTTCTGTTTTAACATTTCACTATGCATGCTGTTTTGGAGAAATGTAAGAAGGGAACAGTTCTGATAGTGAAAACAGACTGGTCAGTTTCGCTTTTGTGTTTCACAGCCAGTTTCTAGTCCATTTCATTTTCCAAATTCATTTTTTCATGAATTAACATGGTGATGTTGTTTGGATTGAAAAAGCAGGGAGAATGTTAACTAGGTGGTTTCCATTTAACTCACACAGTTTTCGCTAGGCTTTGTAGTGTGCGTGTGTAAAATCGTGGTATGGGACTACCAAACCTCCACTTTTATGCCTCGGTATTGTACGTTTCTGTATTTTTTGGCATCCTTAGTTTATTCTTTGCTTTTTGTTGTGTTGGCTCCTTATTTTAACTGGCATGGTGGGAGGTTGCATTTGCAGGATTGTCTGTAGGAACTCTTGAAACATTATGATTTATGTAGCTACTTATTCAGATAATTTAGCCCTCCCATGACTCTTTTGATGATGATACATTGCAGCTGGCTTAGTTTGGATTTAAATCTTCCTTTGTATGTTAATATTTCTAGGAGAAGAAAGGTCCGAAGATTGGTGGAGAAACGCTTTTACCAAGAGGGGAAGAGCAACCCAAATTTCTTAATAACCTTAAGTAATCCACCAGTGATTGTCACAACATACCCCTCATTTTTTGTCTCCGAATTAATCACTTTTTTATCATAAAGCAACTGAGTGCTGGGTTTTGCAACAAACAAGCAGGGCAATCGATTTCTTGGGACAAGGTCTTTCCTCCAGTATCCGGATTGGAATGTCCAGCTTTGAACTTTTTAAACTGATTGAAGAAACCTCATGTGAATTTCTTGTTCATGCCCTTCATTCTTAGGAACGTGCTGTTCACAGTATTTAATTTAGGGAAGAGACATCTAGTATCATGGAATCTGAACCACGAAGTGGTTTCCTCTGGATCCTGAAGTGTGTGTAGAACATTTCATTAGAACCACCCCACCGGACTCATAAGATGTAAACAATTATGATCTTGGAGGGACCTTTGAAACAGTCTGCAAGTACTTGTAGCATGTCTGTGGTTCATATAGTGGTCCATCATGGGGAACACGTCCATCATGGTGTCTTAATTCAGCTATTCCAGTCCTAGGAAATACTACCTCCCATTGTTACAGGGTGCATAAGCAGCAGCATATAGCAGGTTGAACTTATAGAGGTACATGATGTGGCATGACACTTTCCATTGTTTCCAGAAATCCACAGGGCAAATTTCAAGCTGTTTGTGTGAGTTCTTACTGTGTAAAGTTTTCAAAAGGGCCTGAGTGGCACCGGCACTTGACTTTCATCTAAGCCATTCAGGTGCTTTTGAAAGTGGCACCCCCGCCTTCCAGCTGATTGCCCCACATGCATGTAGGCTGCCCGGTGTCGACTGATGACCTGTCATCTTTACAACTGCAGACCCAGAACGTGCCAATTATAAAATGGTAAAATTTAAATTCTTTTAATGAATCAGCCAATATTTTGTCAGTGGCTTTAATGAGCAGACAAAGAACAGATTATTTTAGATAGCTTTTAACCCTTTTTCTAGCGTTTTTTAATATTTTTTTTAATGGATACAAATAGCACAGTCTTTAGGACCCCCTAGGGCCTGACTGTGTGAATCCTTTGTGGGATATTATCTGCTTCACGCTGAGCCGCGTGAGCTCCCGAATGCCAGGTCTCCTGCGGAGTTTCCCTAGAAGTACTGGCTGTGTTTGGCAAACGTTACCCTGTTTGACAATCTCCTTGGAAGCAGCCCTGGTTTGTGGCATCAGGGTCCGTCAGATTCCTAAAACCATGAATATATTTGTAGGCGTTCAGACAAACTCCCAGAGACAACGTAAGGTTTGGTTTACACTTAAAAGTTATGTCAGCGTAACTACGTTGGTCAGGGGTCCGAAAAAACCATTCCCAGACCAACAGCTGTGTCGATAAACCCCCTAGTGCTGATGCAGCTATGTTAAAGGAAGAGTGCTTCTGTCTGTGTAGCTGTTGTTGTTCGGGGAGGTGGTGTTCCTTCACCAACAGAAAATCTGTTGATGTGAAAGCTGCATCTACGCTAGGGAGCTATAGTGACATCTCTATGCCAACATAGGCTCCGTCATGTAGACAAACCCTAATGTGTCCAGTGGACTTCTAGGTTGAAAGCGCTTATATTACCCTTTTTTGCACAAGATACGCAGATGAGTAAGTAATTTGAATTGTAAAGACTTATCTGTACACTCTGCAACCATTAGTGTCCCCAGTTGGTGCTGTTGCCTTCAGTCTTGCCCATCCTATGAGGTTCAGAATCATTGCTTTTAATCCACTGTGTGGAACAGCTGACAAGTGGGTACTGCCATTTATTGACGATTGTAAATATTTAATTGTGACACTTCGGCATCTCTCGGAATCTTTGTAAATATATTGCACAATAAAGAGCTCCAGGGGTTTAAATGTTACCGTTTGTATTACAATAAATGATAACTCCTGAAGAGCTTTTGTTTTTTGATCAATTCTTTTAGGCAGGTTGACAGACGCAAGGAGCTAGGCTGGGGAGCCTAGCCCAGCAAGACCAGGTAAAAGGGGACACAGGCTAGCAGAAGTCTGCCTCAGTGGTGTCCTAGCACACCAGGTGTCATCCCAGGGGGTCCAGCCCGTCACAAAGGTGGCTGTACTTTTATACTCTTGGGGAAACAGAATTCCTTCTCCAAACTTCTAGTGTTGCTATCACCATGGTAGGCACATACCTAGGTAGGAATGTTTTAAGAGAGCCAAGAAATGAAATATCTCCGACAGGAGCATTTAATTTCCGCAGTGGTGCTCAGAGCACTAATATTAATTCCCTGTGTACAAATGTGATAGGTATGCGGCACAGCACCATGCTTAACCTGCAGAAGCATTGGACGAGGCCGGGGGAGGGAAGGATCAGGAGGTCTTAGGCACTGGTTTCAGGGTTTGAGTGATAACATCCCATGTCTCAAGGAAGGGCATCAGACAAGAGTTGCCCCAGAGTCCCAGGACTAGAACCAGTGACTAGACTCTGCCTAGATCCAGTTGGCTTGGAAGCATGTGGGACCCAGCAACTGGGTCCACTCACAACAGGCCACTGGGTTAGTGGATCGGTTTGTAACAACCCCAATCCTGCAATCCTTTGTGGCTGCAAAGGATTGTGGGTCACAGCAAGAAATGATGACTGTCAATTTGGTCTGGGTGAGATAGGGGTTAGAAAACCTTGTTCTAGTGCAGTGAGTGGGGCCTGGCAGGCATGAACTCCTTGGTTCTAATTCACCTTGCTATGTGGCCAAGTCCAAGTCACTTAACCTCTGTCTTCCCCTCTCTATGGAGGATAACATACCTCAATCATAGAGGTGTGATAGGGATTAATTAATATCTGCAAGCACAGAGATTTCTTTGTTTGGACAATGTTATCAGGTATTCAACTGATAAGTCCTGTTAAATCAGCTCGGTAATCATTATAAACATTCATCTAGTGGTATCCTTCAGGGTAAAAGTACTAAGACTCCCATTGACTTCAATGGCCTTTGGATAAATGATCTGCACCAAAAGGGGTAAGAAACGTTTGCCTTTTTTTTGCAACAGTGTTACACTGTTGACTCATATTAACTTGCGATCCATTATGACCCCCAGATCCCTTTCCGCAGTACTCCTTCCTAGGCAGTCATTTCCCATTTTGTATGTGTGCAACTGATTGTTCCTTCCTAAGTGAAGTACTTTGTATTTGTCCTTATTGAATTTAATCCTATTTACTTCAGACCCATTTCTACAGTTTGCTACCCTTCCCAGCTTGGTATCATCCACAAAACGTTATAAGGGTACTCTCTATGCCAGGGGTCGGCACCCTGGTGGGCCGGGCCAGTTTGTTTACCTGCTGTGTCCGGAGGGTTCAGCCGATCGCGGCTCC